CACTTTACAGCAATAATTTGCTATACAAATTGCAAATAAATGATAAAAGATCATCAGAGTGACCTGGAATTACAATGTTATAAAGAAGAAATGCAAATGTTAATAATAACATCTCGTTAACGTCCGTTTCTTTTTGTGAAGTCAACATCCGTTTCTGTGAAGATTTAATAAATTTTATGAAAGCTCTTCGAGTTGACTTTTGGATTCATCTCAACAGTACACATCACTTGAACGAGCACAGTCCTTATTGAGGACAACAAATGAAAATTATCCATCACAAGAGGAATAACTGCAAGTCAAAACATACTTTCAGGATACTCTCGAATGGAGTGAAGAAAAGTGGGAATATTGAAATATTCGCGATTGTTGACAGCACAATGAATGATGGAAGAAAACGATGATCCTGTAAATGTTCTCTCTCGAATAGTCCGGACTGAAGGCCAATTTCGAATCAAAAAAATCAACCTTATCAAAAACAATTCAGTGAAATTAAACTGATATCATAAGGATTATCTCTGTGAAGGATTATTTTGCTCATTTCTTCTGATGACTATCTACTGATGGTTTGTTTCCCAGCTTCGACGGGGGCCTTACGGTTATTGCCAGCACTATCGTGTGTATCGGATCGCTATCAATCATCAAAAATCATCGCATCAAAATCCGCAACAAACCAAAACAGCGAGGATTGTGTATGGTATGGTGATCAGTAGGACGGCTTTCTCGTGAACATGATAACCAGCCAAGAAGAATGCAAATGCTGAGTGTGTTAGCAGCAATATGAAAGTGTTTGGATCACGAAATCGTCGTCGCTTCATTAGAATACATATCGATGGAGTTAACAAGCATAATATCACAACAAGGGTGATGTGAGCACTTATCGAAGGTAAAACACTATGCGGATATTCCTAAAATTGTTTACCAGTTTATCGATACAACATTTCTATTTCAAAATGCAAATTGTGTGACTCTTTGGATGTATAAACCTTCCAAGATGCTCACTGAATTCTATCATCATCTCAGACTTTTTCGGTGATATCCGATTGAAAGTTTGAAAATTTCAATCAGTCTACCAATCCCGGTGTTTGATTTTGAAACAGCCAAAAACACTGACTTAATCGGATAAAGAAGCATTCAAACCATAGAACGGAACCTGAACAAGGCCTGATGTGTACAGTGGAGGACTGATCGCAGGCGATAATTTACTGAATCGTTTCAATAAATTATAAAGAGTTAAATCAATGAAATTATACAATGCCCACAAATTCGGTGCCCAATAGGCATGTGTCAAACCACGTTGGAACGGGAACAATCTTGAGATAATTTGCGAGCACAATTCCATGCCACCAAGCCATAAGAATGGCCCTAAAGTTATCAGTTTCCTTATCCATATCTGTCGCATAATCACAAAAAAGACACCGACCAATCTGTCTCACAGAAAACAGACAATAAACTGAGACCTCTGAGATTCACATATCCCATTGAGTTTCTTCACGAATGCAGATATATTCTGAGGCAATGGTCTACAAACAAATCAAAAATATCACGTATCTAACGTGAGTGATCAAAAAAGCGAACAAAATAACTGAAAACTGACCAAATGACACTAAAAATGGAATGCTTATCGAGAATGCTAATTTCGCACATCGCGAAATGACTGACCGATCAAGTGTCTTCAAAAGATAAGCAAACGAATAGATTACGACATATGCAAATGCATAATACAAATAGATATGTTTCATATTCAACAATATGCAATACATGAAGGCTGCCTGAAAAACGAACTCTTGAAAATTCCAAAGCATGAAATACATTTAAAACAAAAGTTATTGAATAAGCAATGTTTGGAAATAAATTTTCCAAATGTCCCCGGAATCGGTCTATAAGTCTTTCACAAGAAACACCTCCACAAGAACTGCATCACTTAAAGAAACCAACCAAGAGAAAGCGTTCTTGAAGAGCCAAACTGATTGAAAGTAGAAGAACTGTTGTCAGCAATGAATTGTATTGAAAGTGAATATTATCAATCAAAATCAACGTGATATTCGCAATCAACAACAGGAATAACCCCATTGCACAGTGTTTCGAACGATCACCTATGATTCGTATCGAATGCATTGTATTCGCGAGAAAACCACATGAAATTATCTGAATTCAATGATGCATTCATAATTTGAGAAATAATAATTTTTCAATTCATAGATAAAGATGAAACAAATTGTGTTGTTAGCACTGCATCCACTGTTTTTTCACAGGTAAAATTTTACAGGCTGAAATTCAACGAAACAATGAATTAAAAATAAACAAACTTACATAAAATAGATCACAAACAATGACACTGAATCGCTGAAAATAGAGTAGCCCTTTGGAGAAATATGCCTCTTTTTGAATGATTAATGCAGGCGGTACGACACGATTGGCCACCTGAAAAAGAACTATTAATATGCAATGACCAATGAAACATTTTGAAACTATAACAATAATAATAATCATACGACTTCAATCATAATGCATTAAACGAACTTGAAAGACACTCACCATGCCCAACAACAATTCGAAATACGCAAATAAAGGTGGATAATCAAGGGTCCATTCCGAAGTGTTTTCGTAATACCACACTTTCATCGGTAAATTATGCGTTATTGCCATCCAGTTACGATGTACCTTAAATTTCAGCACTTCAATACAGTTCAAATTTTAGCTTTAACATTAATCAAAATTAATGATGGTCTAAAGAAAACGAATGCAGCGATGAAAATGATTAAGAGTGATTAACTGAAAAAATTTTTGAAGTTAGGAAGGT